AGTGGCAGCTCAAGTTCCACTCAGTAGCTCTGCATTCAGTCTTGATGGATTAAATTCAAATCGGCATGTAACGCCCTGTCATGAATGGCTAAGCCCAATTAAAGGATCAGATGTTACTTCGTAATGTTGTGCGTTTATGGCCATCTGATTCAGACTTTTCTGATCAGTTCACTTCCTCTGAAAGGGCCCCGACTTGATTCTGTGAGTTCAGATTCATGATTCACTTCAATCTGTTTGCATTCACATGATATACACAGTTCGTGCATTTAAAATGTCTCCAATGACTTCAATATGTGTATAGTTACCTCAACATGTCATATTAACGCAGATATCGACCTTGCACTTCATCGAGATGATGATTGAGGAACACAACGTTGTTAAGCATCACCATACAGCCCTGACACCATTCCTTAATACGCTTCATATTTCACTAGAATATACCTTTTAACGTAATTAAAATTATGAGCAATGTTTAATTAGCAACAGACTCTTTCAGATAGAGGATTTATGGGTCAGTTTCCTTTTTCACGATCCTTCATAAGTGGACAAACTTGTAGTGATGTTTGCCAACATGGAGCCAATATAGTGGCCTGGAGACTGATGAGTATTGTGGTCTATCCTCGACCCTCATGACACCATATTGATGAGTCCAGCCGTTTCGAGACGAAACTGGCTAAATTTTGAATTTTGTTGGAGCATAGCTTGGCCTGGTGTTAGATGTTCGCTCTACACAGTAGGTATTTGTTGATATTGATCTAATCTCATTTCAAAGATGCCCGTCATATTCAAGATGAAGACAGAACTTTTCTCATATGTTTATTTGAACATTTGTTTGTATTAACTGGCAACATTTAAATAAATTGCACATATATCTACTCCTCAATGTAATCATTCCTAATCCATGGTTAAAATTGTCATACCATAAACCCTGTTTTATGTTTTTAGTCATTAATATGTGCATGTATGGTGTATTTTTTGGTAAATATGAATAAGCAATAGACATGTTTGGGTTGTATTTATAGACATATGTAAAATCATGAGTTTGACAAATACACGTTCTGAACAAACACATGTGTAATGGTTATCTTGTACAAAGTTTAGTAAATATGTATATAGCTGCAAATTTAAATGGTATTCACAACAAAGTGTTGTTACGTGTCGCTTTCCAAATTGAAAGCAATAGTTAGCCCAGAATTATGTGCGTAAAATAGGTGTGAAACCAACAACCAACCAACAAATAGTATACAATCAAACCGTTATTAATTAGGTTTCGAAACAAGCACTGCAAATTAGTCTCAATACAAATTATTGCACAGCAATTACAATGCCAGTACACAATATAGTGATAGTACAATATTCAGTGGCAGTATCAAATTCAAGGTATGATGGGTGTGGGGATATCAAAAAAGTTCTGTGATAATAATATTCCGTCACAGTAGTCAATCTTCCGAGATAGGCCTAGGCTGGGAATACTGAGTGAAGTGATCTTCACATAAAAACTGGTCTTGATGCAATGTGAGATGAAATGTAAGATGAGACAGGGACGCGCCCGCTTCACTAATATAGCCTCAGCAGCTTCCACTGATCGGATGCTCCGGCTCGCTGACTTTGTTGATACATGTAATCGTATCCCAATTGCGTAGATCGATGCGCATGATATTAATCACTGGGTTGTCTGGTCCAGACTCGATCATTTACAGACCGCTGTCATATAGCTGGAATACTGCTGGGTACGGCGTTAAACAACAAAAACAAACAAACAAAAATCTTTCTACACAGTGTCAGACGAGCACAGTGTTACTTAAACATCACAAAATATTCCACATGTTTCTATAACGCTTGACATCCATCCATGCTATTCCGGACGTTTACAGATAATACGAGCATCTAAATAAAATAACTTCCTCACAACAGCTTATATTAAATAGTACTACTTTCCTGACAACTAATCATTGTCCAATGTGATACCGTTACAATCATTGTTTAACAATAAATTACACTGCCATATAACAATGTCTATTCACGTTTAATGTAACTGAATCATTGACATGACGAGTACTTTAGAATGAGTTTTTAAATGGATAATTCCGAGGGATGAAATCCCCGATGAGTCTTGTTTTGAGTAGATTCTCCATTACTTAACTAGCGGGCAAAAGAAACGCCACCAAATAAATAATGGTCGTCAGTTTTCAACAAATTTGCCAAACAGCAGGAAAACAGTTGGGAAGGAGCTGGAATGCAACTTATCTATTCCCTGTGAACATGTGCATTTGCTTCACGTGACTTGCGAGAAAAGTGAATTTATTCACTAAATAATGCAAAATGTGCACAAAGTTATCCGTATGAGATTCTTTTATAAAACATGAGCAGGATTGTACTCTCTCATCACATGAAACCGTTTGGAGAGCCGAGAGGGCCATCGGTATGTTGCAAATGGAGGCGACGCAGGAGCACCTTGCCAGGATCATGGGCTGCTTCAAGTGCACCATCGCACTTGTCACACGTCACAGGCAAACTGGCAGTACTGCAGACAAACCGAGGAGTGGAAGACCTAAGGTCACGACCCCGCAGGAAGACCGGTATTTACGGGTGCTTCACCTAAGGTCCAGATTTCTAACTGTGACGTCTTCATCCGCAAACAGCCGTTGACATCCAGTCGGCAAAAGGACCGTCGCTAGACGACTCCGCCTGTATGGTCTATCGACCTTTCAAGGGCATGACGTTAACGTTTCTACACCGACGTCACAGACTGAGGTGGACCAGGACTGTACAGCAGTGGCAGCAGAGAAATTGGGGAAGAGTGCTATCCAGCGATGAGAGTAGGTGCCAGCTCTTCAAGTCTCATGGGCGGGTTCGAATCTACCGACGACTTGGTGAACGGACGGCACGTTGTTGCGTCCAAGAAGTGGGGCCTTATGGAGGAAGAAGTGTCACGGTTTGGGTGGCATCTGCGGGGACCAGAAGACAGATCTGGTCATCATCGACGGAAAACTGCACGTCGTTACATTGATGAGGTATTGCGGCCTGTGGTACTGCCTTTCCTGCAACAACACCCACGAACGCTGTTTCAGCAAAACAACGCCACCCCTCACACAGCCAGAGTCACTAGCGACTTTCTGAACGCCAACAACGTGACAGTATTACAGTGGCCAGCCAGATCACCGGACGTGTCGCTCATAAAGCACCTCTGGACCAACTCGGACGCAGGATTCGGAAACGTCAACAGCCGCCATTGACGAGGGATGCCTTGGCAATTGCCCTGCAGGACGAACGGCCTATGATCCCTAATCTGGATGTCAGGAGACTCGTGTACTCTGTTCGACGTCGTGTTAGAGCCTGCATCGTTTCTGGAGGGGGTCACATCCGATACTGAGCCATGTGTGAAGCACGGGACTTTAAAAGAGATCGACGTCGATTTTGCTGGTGTGATTGAATACTGGGAAGTGTACTCAGCATGATGAACGTGTCTGCAGAACTTTAAGTACATGGTTTTTTATCTTGTCATTTTCAAATACCGTTTTTGAATAATTGTTGTTTTTATAATAAAACATCAACTGTTACTAAATTTTGCGTCTGTTTTGTTTAAGACCAGACAATTGTTTAGTGGCGTTTCTTTTGCCCGTTAGTTTATGATTAATAGATTGTGTATGGTGATCATGTGCACAGCGAGTCACATTGAAAGGTGCAGTTAAGGAACGCCGCCGGCGGAGAGTAGGTGGGTTTGTGAATGCGTTCAGCAAGCTTGACACTCATTATTTCTAGGGTTTGAACTTGCAACACACAGAAATACGGGTTATAAATATTACTGTGCCTTGTTCCAAATGGGTAATCGTTATGATGATATATAATACATAGACTTCTGGCTCCACTCTGGCAGCTTAGACTGAATACTCCCGAGGGAGCTGATACCACAGATTGTACACTGATCCGATTACCAGGTTGTTAATTTTTCGCGTTATTTGAGAATGCGTTATCATTATTTACAGATTAAAATTAAAAATGCAGCAAAGAGGGTTTGGGTGATCCTGGCACAGTCAGGCTGGTTAGACTCATCAACAGCTCAGAGCCCTTGCCCCCTCTACACGCAGCCCAGACAGCGAATGGGACTTCTCCCAGGAAGCGCTGCCTAGTCAAACCCACCCAGAACTTTTCGGAGAATGTGAAGACTCCCCAACACTGCAGCCTTCTGCATTACCCAGATTGTCAGAAGAGCTGTATTCCTGGTAGCAAACCCCGGTACACTCCTAATGTCAGTCAACAAATTCGGAGGTACCAAACCTAAGGCACCGAGAACAATGCAGAGTCTGACAACTTGGTAATCATATCATGTCAGCTTCATATGCACAGTATGAGAGGGAGGCCCGACATGATGCAGGTATTAGACGTTTGGTTGACAAACCAAGGATCATAATCAGGGAGAATCTGTGGTTCATATTCCGGATCTTAAGATCAAATGGAGGAGGAAACATATACGACTACTGGCACATACAACTGTTGTGACGTCCTGTCACTCTAGGGCGGTTGGGTAGCCAATTGGTTAAAGCGTTCGCTCGTCGCGCCGAAGACCGGGTTTCGATTCCCCACATGGGTACAATGTGTGAAACCATATCTGGTGTCCCCCGCCGTGATATTGCTGGAACATTGCTAAAAGAGGTGTAAAACCTTACTCCTATCATTCTACAGCGTTTTGTCGCCTTTTTTCAAGTTCTAGTTTATGTGATACATGTTCGTGTTTATCCTGCATTCCAGTCAAAGTCAAATGTGACGCACACTTTGAAGAACACCTCAACTAATTGCCAACGCCAACGTTTGCCAACGTTTGCTTTTATTAGTATTTGTTACCTCACAGAACTAACTATGTAGGACAATGGTAGGCCAGTTTGATAGTAGACTTATTGGTACCAGCTGAAGTGGCAGTAATAGGTGTGGTAAAAACACGGCATTGGTAGATGGAGTAGCGTTCGTGGCTGTAGCGTAGCTGCAAGAAAGAGGATTAGTAACTATGCCACTAGCATAAGTAGTACCATGGCAGTAGCAGTAGCACCAGAAGTTACATTGGCAGTAGCAGTAGCATTAGAAGTTACATTGACAGTAGCAGTAGCATCAGCAGTTACATTGTCAGTAGCAGTAGCATTAGAAGTTACATTGACAGTAGCAGTAGCATCAGACGTTATATTGGCAGTAGCAGTAGCATTAGCAGTTATATTGACAGTAGCATTAGAAGTTACATTGACAGTAGCAGTAGCATCAGAAGTTACATTGACAGTAGCAGTAGCATTAGAAGTTACATTGACAGTAGCAGTAGCATCAGAAGTTACATTGACAGTAGCAGTAGCATCAGAAGTTACATTGACAGTAGCAGTAGCATCAGACGTATCATTGTCAGTAGCAGTAGCATCAGAAGTTACATTGACAGTAGCACTAGCATCAGAAGTTACATTGGGAGTACCAGTAGCATCAGAAGTTACATTGGGAGTAGCACTAGCATCAGAAGTTACATTGGGAGTAGCACTAGCATCAGAAGTTACATTGGCAGTAGCAGTAGCATCAGAAGTTACATTGGGAGTAGCATTAGCATCAGACGTATCATTGGCAGTAGCATTAGCATCAGAAGTTACATTGCCAGTAGCAGTAGCATCAGACGTTCCATTGTCAGTAGCATTAGCATCAGAGTTTACATTGGCAATAGCAGTAGCATTAGAAGTTAAATTGACAGTAGCAGTAGCATCAGACGTTACATTGGCAGTAGCAGTAGCATCAGAAGTTACATTGGCAGTAGCAGTAGCATCAGAAGTTACATTGGCAGTAGCAGTAGCATCAGAAGTTACATTGGCAGTAGCATTAGAAGTTACATTGGCAGTAGCAGTAGCATCAGAAGTTACATTGGCAGTAGCAGTAGCATCAGAAGTTACATTGTCAGTAGCACTAGCATCAGAAGTTACATTGTCAGTAGCACTAGCATCAGAAGTTACATTGGGAGTAGCAGTAGCAACAGAAGTTACATTGACAGTAGCAGTAGCAACAGAAGTTACATTGACAGTAGCAGTAGCAACAGAAGTTACATTGACAGTAGCAGTAGCATCAGAAGTTACATTGGGAGTAGCAGTAGCATCAGAAGTTACATTGACAGTAGCAGTAGCATCAGAAGTTACATTGGGAGTAGCAGTAGCATCAGAAGTTACATTGACAGTAGCAGTAGCATCAGAAGTTACATTGGGAGTAGCATTAGCATCAGACGTATCATTGGCAGTAGCATTAGCATCAGAAGTTACATTGCCAGTAGCAGTAGCATCAGACGTTCCATTGTCAGTAGCATTAGCATCAGAAATTACATTGGCAGTAGCAGTAGCATCAGAAGTTACATTGGCAGTAGCAGTAGCATCAGAAGTTACATTGGCAGTAGCAGTAGCATCAGAAGTTACATTGTCAGTAGCATTAGAAGTTACATTGGCAGTAGCAGTAGCATCAGAAGTTACATTGGCAGTAGCAGTAGCATCAGAAGTTACATTGTCAGTAGCACTAGCATCAGAAGTTACATTGTCAGTAGCACTAGCATCAGAAGTTACATTGGGAGTAGCAGTAGCATCAGAAGTCACATTGTCAGTAGCAGTAGCACCAGAAGTTAAATTGACAGCAGCAGTAGCATCAGAAGTTACATTGTCAGTAGCAGTATCATCATAAGTTACATTGGCAGTAGGGTAATCAGTATGATGATATGAATACATCAACTTCTGGTTCCAAATAGGCGGCTTGGACTGAATACTCCCCAGGGAGCTGATAATACAGATTGTACACTGATCGGATGACCAAGTTGATAATTTGACGCGCTATTTGAGAATGCGTCGTGTGGAATTAGCGCTTAACAAATGTATATGTGACAAATCATTACAAAGGAACTAATGGGTGAAAAATCACATTTTGACCTTTCATTATATTTTAAAACTACAATATATTCGGAACACAAAAATACAATTCCCAAGCTTCAATTCATATATATATGAGGGTACATGGCATTAAACATGTAGACTCATTTTTCGATTTATAACTGTTAAGGTAATAATTTGCTTTTAAAAGTATTTGTTACTGCATAGAAATACGTAGGTATGGTGGGCCAGACAAGACAGAACACTTATTAGTACCAGCTGAAGTGGCAATAATAGGTAGCGGGGGCACAAGGGAGAGGATGAGTATCTATGCCCGTGGCATTCGTAGTACCATGATAATTTACAGTCGCAGTAGACTCAGAAGTTACATTTGCAGTAGGGCCCGTAAGTCTCGCGAAGCGCTACTTCTGGTACCAGCATTTCCGGTGACATGCCTATATTCATGAACTAGTTCTGCTTTCGAAATGCGCGACCGCCAAAGCTCACTCTGTTCTTCTTTTTACCTTTAAAATAATTTTGACAGTCAGTGCGGTACTATCGTTCAGACGTGTATTTATAGTCTCAGTGGCATGGAAAGTGTTTTATGACTACGCAGGATGTGTCACATGTTTCTGTAAAAGATTATTCATGAAGATGTAACTACTAATAGCTAGGCCACATCACCCAACTTACCCTGGTATTCTGGTATCTGGCAGCATGAGCAGTGTCATGGAAGCCCTGCCTTATTATTGATGAATAAAACGAGTGATGGACAATGGTAACTTTTTACTCTGTGTGTTCTTGGTGTCTAGTTCTATGTTGTTTCTTCGTGAACCATGTTCAGAACATGAATGGTTTTTTTCTTGGTTATGAAGGTGTGAATTTCTGCTGTACAGCAACCAAAAGATGAAGCAGCATCCGGCATACAGCAACTTCAAGTCAAAAGTGGCCAAATGCATGACAAATACACTGAAATTATGCAAGCGATCACCGATTGACATGTCAAACATAAAGAAAGATACTTACCAATAAATGGAGTGTAATGTTATCTGAGGGAAGAAATAAAAAGTGTGTTACACCTCGTCAGCAATATAATTGTTATAACACTGCAGACTGTGATTGATAGCATGGGCAAGATTAATTGTGATGAACGTTCGTGTTTTGTATTAATATTTCTGGTTGTGAGGCTAAAACGATCCAAGTAAAAAAAATGCCAGAAGTCCAAAACATTAATACATAAAATTTATCACTCAGTGAACACTGATGAACACAATTTAGTACACCGATATCGACTTAATGCAGAGCTAGAAACAATTGCACCAATTTTCCATATATTTGTGTATTTAAAATATTCTGCCAATAAAGCCAGGTTAAACTAATGAGGTAACTGACATTTCATATTTTCCGCTATCCATTTGGAAAAATCCGTTTAATATTACTGGCCAAGAATAATGTTTATTGGCTATTGTCCTGAAAATCAGTGTATTTGCATACTGAAACCGTATATTGCCGATGCCAAAACAAGACATGTTGATATTTAAGAATTAATTTCATAAAGCAACAACTGCAGTGCCATTGGTTAAGTTTTATTTTCATTGGTAAGCATCTTGTGTACTTTCTAGGAAGGTTTTGATCCATAAACTGAAAATCTTTTATCATACATTCAATGTGCATTGTTATGAGATTATATTCAATATACATTCAGTAGCATGGCTGATACCAGAAATATTAAAACAACTCTCTTTTGTATGGCATTATCCAAACTTAAAAATCAATGAGTAAGCTTCAGATTTATTCAGCAATTTTATTCCCAGGCCATGATTACTCTCAAAATATTAAACATTCTTGTCAAATATTCTTAAAAGCCAAGCCTGAACGAATAACTGTGCCAGTGGGAATTGGAATATTTTAAACAGCATGCACAGTGTCACTATCTAGAATCACACTCGACTTTATGTGAGCGTCCCATGATGTTCTGCAGCACCATGTTGATGACAAGTATGTCCTATTCCAGCAAGTGTCCAGTGTGCATGGTGTGTTCTGATGGTCACGGAAATCATTTACAGAACCAGTACTTCAGATAGGACTTTAATATGTTTACAACTGTATTCACATAAGTCTCAAACATACAACTGATGCACACCGGACTTTATGTGAGCGTCCCGTGATGTTCTGCAACACCATGTTGATGACAAGTATGTCCTATTACAGCAAGTGTCCAGTGTTCAAGGGTGTTCTGATGGTCCCAGACATCATAGCAGAACCAGTACTTCAGATAGAACTTTACTATGTTTACAACTGTATACACAATAAGAGTTGTTCTTTCATAGGCAATGTATTGCTTGACCACATAATATTCAAAGACATCTGAAGATCTGTTACAGTCCGAGATGCTCTTAAGGTGCAGTTATGCTTGGCACCAAAGGTAATTCTGGTGATACATATGCATCTACCCGTGAGTAAGATTAGGATATCTTTCTCACCTCAAACATGGAAATCTGGTCCAACTGCAAAATATAAATATCACTTATGAGAACATAATATATACTTCTAAAATAACAACAATTTCTTACAATGCCTACATCAAGATATAGTTAATACATTAAGCATGTACATTGTATATTCAACTGAATTAGCTAAACAAATGCTAAATGAGATTGTAATGACCAAGTCTTTTCACATAATACAGAATGCATGTGAGGTAACTTTTGAGAGATCTTAAAAACAAACATTGCAAGGATTTAATCATCATTATTTACAAATTAGATTAATAGTTTGCCTGTGAATAAAATCTTATTTTTTAGTGCACATAACATTATCATCATGATATTGGCACATATCTTTTTTATTCACACAGACATCCCTATCTCTTTGTCTCTTTGTACAACATTATTACTCAGTGATATTACAAGCGTTGACAAAAAATTCACAGCAATTTACATTGTCAGCATGCACATAATAGGCCTTCGTATGATCATAGTTTGTGTCATCTCCCCTGGACCCATAAATATAATTCTGTGACGTTACTTATCAGAGCTGAACATTTAATATTAGAAAAAGGCTCAGGATAGATGCAATCGAAATTTGCAATAACACCATTTGATGCATAAACCGGGAGCATATTGCAAATACCTTCTTTCTTTTTGACAACAAATAACAACAAATTCAATCAAACGGGTCACAGCACGAGTGTTTATGCTCATATTTCGACGCCATAATCACTGTACTTGTGATAATTAACTAATCAGTATTGACTTTTTAACCCTGACAATTACACCAGCCTATCAGAAGTGTGAGAAAAGTGGAAACCTACCTCATTATTTATGAATGGGTAGCAGCCCGTTTGACATCGATCATAAGACGTCGTTACATCAACTTCTTTGACTAGCCAACACTTGCTATTCATGCCACATAACTCGAATGTTTTAATGCCTGTGACAGTGTCATGTTTTTCTAAGTTACACCAGAGTGTTCCGAATATGATGAGCCTGGTCCTGTCCGACGTAACACTGCTGTCGCCATTGCCGCGAGACGTTGTTTGTTACCGGAAGTACTAAACAACGTTAGGCCATGACCTATTAACGGGCCCTACAGTAGCAGAAGTAACACTGTCGCACGGTTGCATTAGAATCAGTGATATTTGCATTAGACGTAATACCGTAGCTGTAACAGTTGCATAAGAAGTATAATAAACACGAAAATACATTTTCGTAACCATGAGAAAATGTTGCTATAAGCAGAATCCATTAATGATTCAAACAACACCATGAGCATGTGTATATGAATCACTATCAAATAGTGTTGACAACAGGTGTTCGCAAAAAGGTCAGCGTATCCCGCCCCGATGGTGGCACCCGTCACAAACACACGACGAGCCAAGACAATTGTTCACCTACACAAATTTGAGAACATGGTATAAGTCCTAATAGGGAATTGATAGTTGCATATGTGACGTTTACACGATAAACGGTTTTTCCATTGGACGAGAGCGCGGTCACAATGCCGCGACATTGACGTTCAAAAGTGAGTGAAAGACACAACATGACGTCCATACTTTTTTCACTACACTGTATTCTTGAAATGTCGTAAACACTACTTTCACATGCCTGAGGTCACATCTGGGAATTCCCTAGCCCTAATGCAAACAGAGCGTTGTTTCTGATCCCTTTCATCTTGCACTCAGTAATTTAGCATACACTGAGAAACGTCAGACAGTTTGACTACGTGATCCTCGCTACGACCCATCCAAGGGAACAAAACAAGGAAGTTCACAGTCATGCAAACTATTGACTCGATCCATGTCTTGACTGAGGGAGACAGTCTACGGCAATCTATACATTTGTCTTAGTATCTTTTTTCTCACATCTTTATAATCGCCTTTCAATGATGAACCATTTAAACAATGATGACGAACTAGAAACTTCGGCATTGTCTAACGCCACGTTTATCGTGTCGGGCATTTTGACGTCTTGTGAACGTATTACGACGTGCTGTCATTGTGACTAACCTACTGAGGTAGATCGTAAAAGATCCGCCTCATCCACAGATGATATCATTTCAATACATTTGTTGTAAACAAACTACAACAGATGTTTCTATAGATCAACATAAGCATACAAACGCTCCAGTTACCATTCTTTTTGAGGAACTATTTTATTCCGCGATACAGCTGGTTGTGGTATGGCTGTCAGTGTAAGTCACAAGTACTAAATAAAAGTGTGTTTATATCTAGGCCTGCATCCTTCGAGGTAAGAAATAGGGTTATATAAATATAAGAATTCGCAACCTCCGACTACCATACACTCTATGAAGGTTCTTGATCCAATGAACTCACAGTGCGTCAGTTTTGAAAATGACCTCCGCATGTCTACCATAAAACGTTTTAAAAGCTATGATCTTTACTGTAACATTGAATTGTAACCCTTTTGAAACAGTTTTTGAGCAAGAGTCGTATGGCGTTCTTTGGATATACAAGATAATTCAATAGTTTCTAACAATGACATTTATTGCCCTAAATAATGAATCATAGACAGATATACAATGCTGATATTGATAACTCAATAAGAATACAACCCACATGTCGTTAACGTCGTATAAAGGAATGAGAATCGTTACAACTTGGATATACACTGTTGTTCAAAGTGTGTACAGATGATGCCTCAACAAAAACAAGCAGTTGTGCAAAGGGAGCCTGGCTGAGTACTTGCGGAATACTTAGCTGAACACCTGGTGGCCAATGCTTCATTAACTGCAGTGGTGCCAAGCCTTGCATGACAAATCGCTACAAGTGCTTCAAGGCAAAATTAAAGTGGAACTCGCCATGCCACCACAGTCTCAACTGTTGCAATAAAAAGACGTCTTGTAATCTGTGTCTTTACCTTAGCATGAACACGATGATATTTGAAGCTTAACAACTTCAACTCCAATAAATAGAGAATCTCACCCAAGTGTCTTTTGATATGAAATATATCAGCACGAGTTGAAAAATGTGGAAAAACTCTTAGGCTTGCCGAGGAGGTTTTCCACTTTTATCAATGAGTCTTGATATATTTGATATCAAATGACACGAAGGTGAGATTTTATTTATCATCCAACATCATTCTTCCAACTTTTTCAGTTTGTAGATAGTATTAAGCAGTGTCATAGGTGTAAAAAGTACTGCTAACGGCTTCAGTAGCAGAGCCATTAGTGATGTCATTTGATTGTGACGTCATGGTAACCAATGATTAATTTAGAGATGACATGAAATATTTGACCACAACGGGCTTTCACAAAATCCTTAGTTTCACGATCTTACTGTAGCATATATACTCAAAGACAAAGCACTGTGTTTAGATATTTCTTATATTGTGATTTCATTTTCTTAAATCACAGGTAGGTTGAATATTCCAGAGCCTCGTCCCACAAAGCGATCTTAGCGCTGTGACTGTCGTTAGTCAATGTTATTGTATGGGATTTACGATCACTTTGGCCTTAAGATCGCTTTGTGGCACGGGGCCCAGATGAAGTAATCCCCAAAGCCATGACAAAGCCATTTACAAAGATACACACTGTGTCTTTTGTCTAGTCTTGTTGCGCCCATAGTAAATACAAAAACAGTATCAGTATACGTGTTGCGATTGTTCCTACCAAATGTGTCCCACATGCATGTGATTTCGTCTAATGACAAAACGAGAGAACAGCGCCATATCACAACCCAAAAATCACACTGAAAAACATTCCTGTCCTGAAGGAAATGACATTTTGAAGTTCTGAGTTCAATAGCAACGCCCCGCTGAACACAAATCAGGCGTAAGAAAGCGGTAGGTATGTTCACCGCGGGAAGACCTGTTGCGGACGTCGCTCGACGTCAGACCGTTCGGAACCGAGAGCGGTACCACAACATCCGGGCTCATCTTCCCGCAAGGAGTCCAATTCCGACCTGTCAGGCCTTGAGTAGTCACGCCAACATCTCAGATTGAGCAGATTGCAATGGCGTAATGTGTTTTTTACATACGAATCGTACATTTCGTGTGGATGTCACTGACACTCAGCTCTTGGTCTTCCCTAGGCTCCGCGACCGCAAGATTGCTGTGTGACGGACGTGTTTGGGTTCTGGGAGGAATCATCTCGGTCGGGCTGCCATATCCGGTTGTTATCGAACTTACCTTTAATCGGGTTGGGGAATCTACAGACATCCTCATATGGCTTGTCGTTCCTTTTCGTGCATCCCGAGACCGCCTCCGTGGTCTAGTGGTAGAGCGTCCGCCCGGAGAGCGGAGGGTCCGGGGTTCGATCCCCGACCGCGTCATACCAAAAGACGTTAAAAGATGGTACTTGTTGTTACCCTGTCTGGCGCTCGGCATTTAGGGGCTAAAACAAGGACTGGTCGGCTCGGAGTCATTATACTGTGTCTGAGTGGGGTATTCATGTTAAACTGCGGCATGGTATCTCTGTGAGCTAGCACTATGAATCGGCATCAGTCCGGACTAGTACAAGCAGCTACACACACATACACACGTACATGCACGTCGCTATATAAGTGCAATAATCTTGGACGCGGCGTCAAACCCCATTTCACCTGACCTCTTGCATCCTGTCCCACCACGAGGCCATGTAACATAACGACCATGCACTTTCCCATGTTGCTGGAGTCTGTACCAACTTCTTGCTCAGGAATGTATGTTGCCCTGGCAAGCATGTTAACTGGATCGTGGTCCCAAAGAACCACGTCCCAGTGGTTAAAGCGTTCGCGCGGGTTCGATTCCCGAAATGGTTACAATGTGTGAAGCCCATTTCTGGTGATATTGCTAAAATATTGCTAAAGGCGGCGTAAAACAATACTTATTCACTCACTCACTTGTGTTTAATGGGATGATTTGGTTTACTTTGTTGTTTAACGCCGCACTCAGCAATGTTCCGGCTATATGACGGCGGTCTGTACATAATCTGGACCAGACAATCCAGTGATTGACATCATGAGCATCGATCCATGAAATTGGGACACGATGACATGCATCAACCAAGTCAGCGAGCCTGACCACCCGATCCCTTAAGTCGCCTCTGACGACAAGCTTAGTCGCCTTGTTATAGGATTAAGTATATACAGACCTCAACCCCATTGTATCAGCTTTGTATGTTTATATGAGATTTGCGACATCCCTTGTCTCCACTGCAGTATATAACAACACAAGGTGTATAGTTTCTATTTTGTTGACTATTATTAAGACAGCACTATAAATCTACGTTAATAAACGCGAGACTACAAGCCACAATTACAGTCAATCTAAAGTCATGACGTCATGAATCTTGAAGACGACAAAACTTTCTTGTTTAACATGTTGAACGCAGAACAATGTTCCAGTTATATGGCTGCGGTCTGCAAATGCGACAATCCAGTGGTTGGTTTGTTGTTTAACGCCGCACTCAGCAATATTCCAACTATATGACGGCGGTCTGTAAATAATCGAGTCTGGACCAGACAATCCAGTGATTAATATCATGAGCATCGATCCACACAATTGGGATCGATGACATGCATCAACAAAATCAGCGAGCCTGACCAGCCGATCCCGTTAGTCGCCTTTTACGACAAACATAGTCACCTTTTACGGCAAGCATGGGTTGCTGAAGACCTACAGTAACTCTACCCCGGAATCTTCACGGGTCCGACAATCCAGTGAACTATGCAACTGGGATACGACGACGTGTATCAACCAAGTCAGTGAACCTGACCAGTTAAAGACCTTTTTACGATGGCATGGGTTACTGAGGACTAGTACTAACCTGGATCTTCACTGGGGACGATATCCTTAGAATCAATAGTCCGGTATTTTTACACAAGGAATGCTAATGTGTAATCCAGCAATGGTGATTAATACCATGGAAACTGAGTGACAGGTGTTTTATTAAATTTCGTAGTCAAAGTACACTGTTGTCGTATACAGAACAGATACACCCACGGCTCAACGCGTTATGCGTAGCTAACCGAAATGAGTACAGATATAACAACAAGCACATAAATAGGACTTATAACAGTAAATATATAACAATTTCGTACGAAAAGGAAGAGAATTTATAACTTCTTTATTATGGGGAACACAACGTTTCGGAGTATACGCCTTCTCCTTCATAAGGTGAATGGATGCCATGAGGCAGAGAGAATATATATGTACATGTAAGAACAACAAAAGTAATAAGATAACAAAAGGTGGAAACTTAACAAGGGAAGCCAACAGATAATTAGCGCTACTTTCCTTGTTAAGTTTCCACCTTTAGTTATGTTATTACTTTTGTTGTTCTTACATGTACATAAATATGCTCTCTGCATATAATGTAAATATAAATATAAATTCTCTTCCTTATGTGTATCACTTCTTAATGCCTTTTAAAGACTTCTTACGATAAAAACTTATATATTTATGTTTGTTGCTTATGCCAATCCAAGTTGCTTAGCCTGAAAATGAAGAGAAAGCGTTGAAGACACACTTGCTCTTAAATTCATGATATTCAATTTGTCGAAATTCCCGAATTACGTGCTTCCCGTTCCGCGTTCCATAGATACCTGATAAAGCGGCCGCTTGTTAAGCATATGCAACAACCCGTATGTGTGCTTTTGACGATCCATTTTCCGTATAAATATATCACCGATATACCTCTCTCTGTAGTCATGTTATAAATTAGGATATATGTCATATAATCGTTATCGGTGGCAAATATTTGTAGTCTGTGGATTGTGGCAAGATTCTTTATCTTGCAAAAGCACTGTTTGTCCATTGGTCTGATAAATCTACAATCGACTATATTAATGTACAAATTCTATTAACATCACAAACCAAAGATCCATCATTTCGATTTATAAATTCATCAAGCTATTCTGCAATAATGAACGCGGAGTAGACTGTCGATTCTATCATCTTAAGCGATTTCCTCTGTTAAGTAACAGCGAAATACAGATACGCCACCTTTTCCTTTTAAGATCTCGTTTGTTGGTGTAAGCGGCACCATAAAAGCATTCGCTCAAAGCCGTTAACTCGAGGGCAGCGCTTTCGTTCACACCAGTAACGCGAACCAGGCAATAATCTACAGAAACTGCGCTGCGAAGGGATTTTAACTCCATCTGGTCTATGCAGAGGTGGAATCACCGGAGAATCAATGTATTCCTGCGCGAATAGTTAGACGGCACGCTAGCCGGTATTGACACAAAATAGATCCAAGGCGAGGCTCTGTGTACCAATGAGAGTTTCCCCGCACCGGCCTCTGTAGATCAGCCATGGTACCTAATTCCGCTGGATTTGCAATTCATTTACGAGGCGATAAAATATTGTTACTATAAGTGGCACTGCTAGCTTTAGTGTATGATTACAGTAAGTTTTAAATGGTGATTTAGCAGTGTTTGATCGTTTTGATGCATTAAACGAGGTACCGGCAGCAAAACAATCATTTTCAATGTTGTGGAAGCTATTACCCTGATGGATGTATATAACCAGACTATGACTGACGTTGTGGAGGATTGTGGTTGTCAGTTTCGCTCGGATGATGTCAATCTTAAGCTGACATTCTGTTGCAAAGCATTCCCAACATGCCGGTAAAGTTCCGTTCTCAAACAAGGTAAGTTTGTTAAAATCACATACATTTTTATATTAAACTAAAATATCAATAACCTATATGTTTCCTTACTTTCTCAATTTCCAGCGGTTCCAACATGTGGGTATTGTGCAAACTCTATTCACAGCCCACAAGACGGAATTTGTTTATCAATTCAGTAAATTATTGAAGCTCCGATAAATTCCAATAAAGATTGCTGCAGGTGCAAAAATGGGATCATTACCATTTTCAATATTGTGTTTTGGAGACTTTTATCTTCAGCTGTTTCAGTTATCAGTCAACTACATATGCACGCATGGAAATGACGACGGGTTCATTTCAAGTTGTCTGAAAGTTTGTTTTCCATCATAATCATTTATATTATTCAGTCAATACTATGGTCATTATTCTTGCAAACATATCATTGATCGGCGCGTGGCCTCGGAGAATCATTGGGTTACGAGTACATCACAGCCGCCACTATTATAGTCATGTAAATCAAACATCAATTCCACGACAATGACAATAACCTTTGCAAAACAAAAAAACGATCTTCGAGAAAAATGGTGCCTATGATGAAAAAATTGCTCCACTGTGATATGTATTGATCATTCTCGTATTTCCTACTTCACCGCCCTTCAAATATTGAATAACACCAACATGGATGAACTCTGGATAATTTTGTCATTGCGAAATCGGTTTCTGTGACTGACAAGTAGCTCGGCAGGAACTTGTCAATTTCTTGTCAATTTCAGACGCGTCAAAAGCGTCCTCTTCGCGACCCCTTGTCATTGACGATTTAACTCTTCTCAACAGATGTGACAATGGGAAGGATGGCTTCATAGCCTTTATGTCTTAAAGTTAAATTGATGGTAAAATCATCTCAAATATTGTATTTCTTTACATTTGTTCAATGAAGCATTTAAGGGTGCATACATCGTTTGAATGGGTGTGGCCATGCCTGTGGTTGACTACCGAGAGTGAAGAGGTTGCACTGTTAAAGCAAGTGTATATATTCTAAACACACACATGCACACAATTCTTGCACCATGACTTTATTGCGTTTAAAGGCCTAACTATACTGATACAATGAACATGCCTAAAATTTGTGTGAATACCTAAACAGGGTAAGAATACTCAATCTAAACATGTTCATAAGTGATTCAGAACCAAACATGTCCAGAGAATCAAGATTCATGATTGGCATCATTTGCACTTTTTCCACTAATTGTATCTGTACAATGCCTCGACGGTGATGCAGAAGACAAGGACTGGTACTCACTATTAGCGTAAAAAAGGGACACAATCAAAACCAAGTTCTTTAAAACTAAAACATGTCAGTTCAAATAAGTACCCCTCTACAATGCATGACTCTTGCATGTATTTAACCAATCGAAATGAATCCAACAGTGTGTCCAGCATCCTGCATATGGACCGGACTATATTGTTAAAATATGATTATTTATGAGTGATCGCTTAAAGACTTGAAACTGCTATCATATCGTGAACCTAAACAGGTTTAGATGTCAACACAATTCTGAATATGTTTAAGCCTCCAAATGCCTGGATGATGGGGTTTGCTTATAAATTTTACCGTTGAAACCAATTCTAAATACGTTTAGAGAAACAGCATGTCAAGAATGTGTTTAAAACCAACATATAATACGTCAAGGCCGGAGAATAATCAGTTATTACCTGCAGAAACAGATTATAATATGTCTATGTATATTTCAGTCAACACACTAGAGCATTGGAATTCGATCATTTTATTGACAACTGTAGTTAAGATCTACAAAGAAAAATCAATTAGTAAAATCTGATACGGTTACATTTTAAATTATTGAGCTTGTTACGTTGTAGTTCTAGATGGTCTCACAAAGGGATAACATTTACACAAACACAATTACACTGCGTTTTATCTCAAATATTCATTGCATGTTTTCGAAAATTATATTTTTTTCTTAAACTTTGGAAAATGAATGAAATAGAATCTGATTTACCATTAGATTAGAGGAACAGTAATTGTCATCATTCCAAAGGGTTCATAACAATTGGATGATACGGTATCCTGGTCATAGTGTAATCTCCTGTCTTTGGAGACAACTCGTATCTGAGCATCGTTCAGCATTCGGATCTGAACGCTACGACTGTCGTCAGTCAGGGTTTTAACCGACTCAGTATGATGCATGAAAATTGTGAAAGGACAAATGTTCACATTATTTAAACCGTGGTGGGTCTTGTCTGGACGCAAGAAGGTATGGATGTTTGAATCATATTTATTTAAGAAATATGAACTTCATGTCACTCAATACATTTCGTTTCTCGTTAGAAATACACTCAACTGTTCATGGTGTAAATTGGTGACTTTCTTCAGTCAGATATCATGTGCACGATAATACTTTGAAAAAAATGGAAATCAACAGAAGCGTGCCACCGATCGCCAGTCTGACACCCCGTTCTCATAGACTCCCAAAAGGTATCATATTCATGGACTCCCAAAATGTATTATATTCATGGACATAAAAGTAAGACTAAGTCACCAATTTTGTACAGGCTAACGAGAGTTGTAACGGAACATGCAGCTGATGAGTAAATCAGAGGTATCAAATCACATACCTCTAATAAAAAGGAGGACTTGATGTGTGATAACAAGAGAAACGATATTACAAGAAATTTGAAAACAAACGTTTTGGTATTCTGACCCTCATTAGCCTATTCTTGCACCTGTGAAATGCGCCATAAATGAAGCATTGAATTACAGACTGCATATTAGGCTGTTCAATCACTTCAGTAAACATTGTACATGAATTTCAAAATATGCATATGGATGTCATAGTCTCGATGAGTGATGATTGCAATTTATCAATTATCAAGATAATATTGCCCGAACTATTTTCTTTTCTTTATGATTCATCTCAGACGCATTTACTTTGAAACCATAATATTCAAACAATGTATGTCACGTGCACACTAACGTGAAGTACTGGTCCGGCCCAATTGCTGCCGAAGTTTAACAGGGATACCCACTCAGTGTGCGGACTTCCGGACCGACCAGTCCTTGTGTTATCCTCTTAATGTCGAGCGTCAGGCGGGGTAACAACAAGTACAATTGTTGGTGTGGGATGGCCGTAGATAGTACCAGTACCAAGCGCTCAATCCAGTAGACCGAAAGAAGAGAGACATTACACTAAAAACAAACGGCACTTCATGATAGTTACTCATTTAGGTTTATATTTTGCAAGATCGTTAACCAGATGTTGTACTGTCCATGTGTACGTCGTTGTGACGCATTTATGCCACGTGTTACTTTTGTTCTTCCAGTCTTTCATTATGAATGCATGACTATCTTTAATAATAGGACAAAATAAATAGCCAAATTGGTATTTTTATTTCTATTGTGAATATAATACGAGCTGGGAGATGTTTGGTTAAGATACACTAAGCCATTGATAGTTAGTTCTAGAGGCCAGCATTTTGACAAGGACGGTTCACGTACTATAAACACAACTCCGTATGCACGGTCGATGCTTGGTTGAAATCTACAAGCAAATGTCAATTTCTAACGGATATCAAGCCCCATGCAAGATGCTGCCCTGAACACGCATGTTGATTCTGTCTCAAAAGTAAACATAAAATGTAACTAGCTTTACACAAGCTAATCGACTAACAGTACTATCTAATGGGGGTCGGGAGCCGCAACGATTTGTCATTGTTATATCTAAGTATAGAAACAGTATGGACTTGTGACGACGTGCTTCCGTGCATGTTGTCAAACCAACTTACCAAAATTATTTCAATGTTTGCAAAATTAACCGCTGTTAATAGATTTTTTTAAAGCCAATAACGTTGCAGCGTTGAATTACTCACCTGATATTGTAATGACAGCAATCCTATGTATCAAATCGATGACATTAGCAGGTAGCTGTTGAAGATGTGTTCATTGATATGATCGCTGGAAAGTTGAATATCAGTTACACGATACATTAGCCGGAGGCGCAAAGCAAATTTCGTATCATATGATACAGACTATTGTTGGATATTTGTAGAAGCAACCTTTGAATGGTTTCATTTGCATTGATGGCTTTGTGCATCCTCTGGGACTCATTTCGACATTTAGAGAGTGTATTTTACCGACTTCTGCATGCCAAGCTGTCGCCGATTCTTTATGCTAAGCGAGAGGTTTACCACCGTCAGAAAATTGTCAGTCTGGACTTCTGGTTACTGGAATAGCCATCCGATAATACTTCTAATGAATCGATGTTTAGCATTATTATTTAGCAAGGTCCAATTACGATCTATTCAAAAGTGAGTCTTTGTGCTCGACGGCAATGCTGCTACAGTCGTTGAGTTGGACGTTGCAATGCCTGATTACACCCAACGTAGAAAGATCTAAAGCTCTCTGGTGTTAAAGTTTGCCTCAGTGTGAACATTAAGTGGATATTTGTCAATGATTAAAACCTTCTGAAGTTAGTCAGTTCAAATGACTTAGCTGTGTATTTGGCCAGAAAAGATGCACTGACAAAATTATTCCGAGTACAATGACACCATCTGTGCTGTGCTTGTTTTTATAGTCAACTTTTTGTTTTGACGAATAAAAAGTAAACCAGGCACTGGGTTTTTTTTTAAATCCAGCTGTTTGGGTTTTATGAATATCCAGTCACCATGATCATTGGTAGGCTTAAAAAATATTTTATTCATTGCTTTATAACCACAGTTCGTTGCAGGAGTGTATAAGTTGTATTTATTTTCATATTTACAGTAATGTTCATTTATGTGTGCCACGCTATCAATACAAACCTAATGCCGTGTACTTTTAACCACTGCCCATGGCGAACAGCCTTGAAAAACAGAAACACTTGCCACCAGCAGTTATCTAGAACACCTGCAAGTAGAAACGCTCCAATGAAGCATTGATTGATTGAAGTAACGCAGTCTGGTTCCCATTCTCACGCTGTGCTCTGCTCAAAAGAACAATCAGAAAACCAGAGCTTTTTCTGTTACTTTACAGTACATTCTGCAGTGCA